CCCCCAAAATTTTAAATCGAAGGGGGGTCGAGTGATACTTTATTTTGAAGGTATTTTTATGTAGATTATAACTCTTAACATTTAAATCAGTTTTATTTTAAGTGCTTAAAGCTAAAATCAATCAAGTAAATGTTGGAAATGTTGGCCTTCCATACAATAATACAGGTTTTGTTCAAACCTTTCCCGTACATTTTGCAAAACTTCTGGGGTGATTTGACGACATTCATCAATTATTCTTTGTCGCAAGTTCTCTAGCGACGTTGGCTGACTAGCATAAATTTTAGTTTTTAAATGTTCCCATAAAAAAAATCTAACAGATTTAAGTCCGGGGAACGAGGAGGTCATTCAATAGCTCCTCTTCTTCCAATCCATTGTCCTGGAAACGTTTGGTCCAAATATTGACGAAACCCTTGCAGCATAGTGGGGTGGCGCACCATCTTGTTGAAATACTATACGATTTTCCAAGTACTCGTTGTTATTTTCTAGTATCTCCACTAATGCTGGATGAATCGTATTTTCTAATAACTTCAAGTGCTTCCCTCCTGTTAGATTGCCAGGTAAAAAGAAGGGGCCTACGATATGGTTACCAAAAATGCCAGCCCAAACATTCAATTTTTCGGGACGTTGTGTATGCACCTCACGAAATATTCTGGGATTTGAATCAGCCCAATAGCGACAGGTGTGTATTTGTCACTACTATTATTTGACAACAACAATTGACAAGCACTATTAAACTTTAAAATGTTGCTATAGTAACGCTCTGAACAATAACCAAGAATTCCGTTGCAGAATTGGCATAGCCACCTACCTACAGATATTAAAAAGAAAAAAAACAACAACAAAAAGTACGGTTCAGAATGTAGAAGAACATTTTTTTTTTTTTTTTTTTTTTTGGTAGGTGGGGAAATGCTCCTTATGCACACTCCAGGTTGAAAGGTCTGGAGTAGTGTGGGGCTCTCCCTTACTCGGGTATACCCACTAAAACCCCACCTAAGGCTTCGGCTTCTATGGCCATTTGCCTATTTGCTCAAAATATCACAGACTTCGTTCTAATAGAATATTACATACAGGTAGGTCGACTCACATACAATACAATATTTTCGATATGACAAAGTTGGTAACTGACAGACAACAATAAATAACAATTAAATAGACAGCCATTATATCACAGTTTGTGCAACATTTCCACACTTTGGAAAAATCCTATCACCCTTCGACACCGTTCATCGCTGTTAAAGTTACCTTCCCATATCGGGCATATCCCGAAGTTGTCCCGTATATCTTTGTATCGTGGACAGTTACAAAGTATGTGCTCTAGTGTTAAATTAACCTCACAATTCGCACATAGGGGTCTAGGTTTACCTTCCAGCAAGGCGCTATGGGTTAATGCGGTGTGCCCAAGTCTAATTCGAAACATCTTCACGAATACAAACCGACCCTCGCCAAGAAGAAATAGCGGCCCCAAATCGGGTTTGACCCTTTTCAAAAATGAATCGGACCTCGCCCATAGGTCGCTCCAACGCTCATACACCCGAGCCCTGACGAGTGTACGTCGGGTTACTGTTGTCTCATTTGCAACATCAAGGTCATTTAGTTGTAGATACGTTAGATCCTCTCTAGCCCTTTGGCTCAGCGTTCTGCACCTATTCAGTCGTCGACGCGGAACTGCGCCTGCCATCGATACGTGATTCGGATGTCGTTCATCCGAAATTACTTTAAGATAATAGTTTACAGCAGCCTGTTTACGACGGAGGGCTAGAGGAAGGATGTTCGCCTCGACGTGAAGCGCAGCGACCGGACTCGTTGGAAAAGCTCCGAGGGAATACCGTATGGCGAGGTTTTGGATTTTATCGAGATTCCCAAGCATCGCACTGTTGTCACATGTCAGATAAGCACAGCACCCATAATCAATTCTCGATAAAATTAAGGCCTTGTAGACGTCGAGTAACGTCTTTGGGTGAGCTCCCCACTTATGGTGGGCCAGGACCCTAATGACATTTAATGATTTCCTACACTTTGTGACAACATTCTGTAGATGCTTGGACCACCGCAGTTCCCTGTCAAAGGTAAGTCCCAAAAATTTCATATCTTGGGACACAGCTATTATACGGTCTTTCATAAATAGAACGGGGTCATAGTGTGGTCTTCGGAGTCGACAAAAATGAACCACCTTCGTCTTTTCCTCAGACAAAACGTACCCCACTGCATCCGCATTATCAGAAATTTTATTGATAGCCATTTGTAGTATACGCACAGCGGAACCAACGGTTTTTCCGGCGCAATGAATCATTAAGTCATCGACGTATAGGGATTTATCGACTGTGTCGGCAACACCCAGGGCTATTCCGTTTATGGCAATTGCAAACAGTGAACAGCTTAAAGTCGAGCCCTGCGGGACCCCGTTTTCTAATACGCGCTCGTTTGAATACGCCTCTCCAATTCTAACAATAAACTTTCTGTCTCTTAAAAAAGATCTAATAAATTTGGGCATGTTTCCGCGTAAATTGTATTCAAGCATTTTTTAAGTATACCATACCGCCATGTCATGTCATATGCGCTCTTGATATCAAAGAAGACCCCAATCAAATGTTCGCCACCATCAAACGACTTTAGGATGTTATCAGTTAATTTAACCAAATGATCAACCGTCGACCGACCTCTCCGAAAACCGGCCTGATAGGGGACGATGATCTCGTTTTCTTCCAGAAAGACCCGCAATCTCCCATCAACAATTTTTTCCAAGAGTTTGCCTAGGCATGAAGTCAAACTAATTGGACGGTAGTGCTGCGCCAACAACGGATCTTTCCCCGTTTTAAGTATGGGAACGACTATGGCCCGTTTCCACTCATCTGGGTAGATACTATTTTCCCAACAAAAATTAAAGAAATCTAAAATCACTTGTTTCATCGGGTTGCTACAATGACGAAGCATCTGATTGTGGATACTATCGTGACTGGGAGCGCAGGATTTCGTGTTTTTAAGTGCAGATTCTAATTCATCCATACTAAAAGGTAAGTTATAGTAACGAACTACTGACCTGATAGAAATGGTCTGCCAAGAGGTACGAAATTTCTTGTAAATCTTTCGTAACCACCCCATCGTTTTTCCGAAGGAATGCCGGGTAGTTTAGTTTAGATTTGCCAGATATCGAACCCACTTTTTTCCATATTTCACTCATAGTCACGTCCGTCGTTATGGTGGATACATAGTGTTGCCACGACCTTCTTTGTGCCTGGAGAATTTCCCGACGACATTCAGCCCTGCGTTTTTTAAAGACTATCAGGTTATCCAGGGAAGGATTACGTCGGAACTTGTTTAATGCCCTTTTTTTAATTGCTATTTTTTCTTTTATTACAGATGACCACCATGGGACAGATCTAGTGATCTGTCTAGCCTTTGACATAGGTATACTTTTCTTTGCAGCTTCCAAAATGGAGGATGTGATATTCACCAGGTTTAGCTTGTCATCATTTGGAGGAGGACATAGTTGGTGAGTAAAATATTCCCAATCTGCTTGTTGGATTTTGAATTTTGCTGTAGATCTTATTGCAGGAATGTTGACACCTCGAAAAGTCAAGATTATGGGAAAGTGGTCACTATTAAATAGATCATTTTCCACTTCCCATTTCAATTCAGTGTATAGAGACGGAGAACATATAGACAAATCAATGGTGTCAAAAGTGCCTGATCTTATGTTAAAGTAAGTAGAGGAGTCGTCATTTAAAATACAAAGAGCTTTAGTCTCGATGAGATCTAATAGCTCTTTACCTCGTGCATCATTTTTTGTATTTACTGTTGTATTAATTTTTGTTATTTAACTAATTCATTTATAAGCATTTTTTTCATAAGAAAATGTTGACACGTTTTTAACATTTATTAGCCCCTGTATCGGCTAGGCAAATTAGTAGCGATTTAAAACTTAAGGGTTATAAGCCACATAAAAATACCTTCAAAATATGTTATCACTCGACCCCCCATTCGATTTAAAATTTTGGGAGCACTTGTCACCCCCGCTAGGCCTTTGCCCTTAGGGGGGCGAAACTAGCAAAAAAATGGTTCCCCTTGAATCAAAAATTGACAGGTCCGAGGATTTTTTCGTAAATGTTTTGAGGTTCCCAAAATAGGCTCTGTTTCGTTTTCAAATGGCCACCCTGTATATACTTATTTTTTTTTGTCCTAAAAAAGAACACGTATAATCCCTCACACTTCGAAAATGGAGTGTCGGACGAGAGTACTTACAGAGGGAAAATGAAACTTCTGTGCCATGGATATAATTTTACATGCAAATAACTTCAGGAAGAGCTATTAGAACGTCTGGTTGAGATATATCAATTTTGTAGTGTCAAAGCATTAAGTGCGAATGTCTTGAGAGCGAAGCACTTACAAAACGAAAATGGAAGCTCTAGACGAGATCACAATGAATGAAATCGGAGTAATGAAGGTAGCGCTCTGTCTGTCTGCCTGTCCCGATGTCTGAAAGCATAGATTCAGGTGCGGTTTAGTCGGTGAATTTTTGTGATTACAAGTAACAGATCAGGTGTGTTTGGCGCAAAATTTAATGAACGTCGCGTTACAGTTGCGAAACACTGCTGCTATTTTTGGATAATTCAGCGTCCTTGAAGACCAAGAAAGACACGACTACAAACAAATTTATCTATCTACTTCGATAAGTGACTAAATTTAAGACCGTGACCCGTCACTTTTTGAAACGAGATGGCGCCAAAAGCACGTGTTCCAATTGGATACCTGTTCGCTTTAATTTCAAAATGTTAATCGTAGCTACGCGCGACCAAAGCGCGGTAAAAATTGAAATGCCAGAAAATTGTGTTAGTGGCACGGACGTTGGTGCAATTCTCTTAAATGAGCGCTCGTACTTTTCTCGCATTTTGAAATGTCAGGGCCTCGACGTTTTACATTGGCGAATGAGAAGCGATAATTTCTTTTTGTGTAATCGCGCGCGATAAGATTATTTCCGCAAGGCAAATACAAAGAGTACTTACGGTGTCGACGCTTGCCACGTAGAAAATTCGCGATTCTGTCGGTGATGGTACTCCACATGTCATCGCAAAAACGGAACGGGATAGTTATACTCACTTCATAGCACCGTCAGATACTGACGCCGTCGGCGCTCGCCGTGCCTGAGAGAGGCGTCCGCGTCCTTTCCTGATAAGCCGCGTCGAAGATGCGTGCGCTTTTAATATATTATTCTTTTTTATTACGGCGACACGTACATATTTTAATTAGTTCGAACGCTCGCGTAATTTAATTTTCATGATACTCACGCGCGACGGATTAGTAAACCGAATTGTTTGTATTTACTTTTTCGCCTTATCGGCTGCTGTGTGTGTCGAAAATCGTTACGCGATGATAACGCGACAATGTTTTCGAGATAACGTCATTGTTTACAGATGATATCAAACACGGAACGTCCTTTTGTGGACAAACTAGCGCTACCGTTCCGAGCAAGCCACGCTTTCACACGCAACTACCGTATATTATACATATGCTAGGTCCTATACCACAGAGTAATGAAAACAAGCCGTCAAAGTTAGACAAAATGATTCTTAGTAAATTGGTTCTTCGAGCCGAATCAATCTATTTCGAGCTGCATTTGTCGCAGAAGCGAGCCTAACGGGAAATATATACTAGTTTGTCGCTTGTAAAGTGTAACAGTTCATTGAAAAAGCGATGGGGATCGATATAATGCTTTCCCAGCGAAATAAATCCACAAAATAAGGATTTCGTGTGTTAAACTATGATTTCGGTAATGGGGATCAAGCCAAAGTTATAGAAAATTGAATGTAGTGCCATCCCAAGCAGTCACCCACTCCCACGCATACTTACAGGCCGGAAGCGGTCTCGCCCGTGGATAAAGACAGGACCGCCTTCATATATCCCCTGGGTACAAAGAATGCCTTTTGGATTAAGCAACGCCCCCTCGGCATTCCATCGCCTAATTGATCACGTGAATAGTTAATTAATCGGGATAACTGTTCTCACGACTCATGGTATTGTCCAGAGGGCAGACACGTGGACACGTACTTCCAAGATATCGCCGCGGTCCCAGTCCGTTTAAAGCAATTCCAAATGAAGGCAACACGAAAAAAATGCCAGATCGCGTTAAGTACCTCGGGCACATCGTCACCGCAACGGGCATCACTGCCGATTCTGCGAAAGCAGCCGCCAACGCGTAACTTTCGGTTGCAAAAAACCTCCAGCAAGGGGGGGGGGGGATTTCAGACCGCCCAGACCCCCCGGCGCTACGTTTTCAAACAACACGTCAAGCCTTAGGGTTCCCATCATACTTTCTCATAAAGGACCATCCAATCTTCTTCTGGATGGTCCCATTGTAAGTGCTACGGGCATGAAATATTTTGAGGTCTTGGGGGGGGGGGGTGCATGGAGAGAGAGAAGAGAGGGAGAGAGAGAGAGAGAGAAAGAGAAGTAGCCGGTAGATCAATTAACCGTTCGTCGTGTGCAATAGGCAATAGGCCTACAGATCATTAAAAGCATTTTAAGACTCTTAAGGACACTAATACTCTTGAGGAAATAATGGAAAAATCGACATTCCTCGAAACTATCGTAAATAAGAAGTATAAAGGTAGTGTTTCCATTCTTAACGCTGTACTATATTATTACTCGGTCATTCGGTAAATACGAGCTTTGTGATTAAATATTTTACTGTCTTGATACGTGGTGGTGGCTAAACACAAAATTATAGACTGCAACGTTCCACAGACAATAAAATCAATAATCGATTGTATGAAAAGGTTCTAATTCGAGTTTTACTTTACCTGGCGTCATTTGTGAACGTTCTTGAAGGAACTCAAGTTCGTGTAATGCAAGGCGGTATTCTATTTAGTGTTTTTTTCGTAAATTTTCTGCGTTCGGAAATTGGAATCGGTGCGGCGTCACAGTCGGTAGACGAATGTGGCCCGAAGGTTATTGAAGCGACTTTTGGAAACGAACCCGTTCAGTTCCTTTACAATAATCAGTTGGATCGTCTGCTACCGTTCCATGTAAGTAATAGCAAGCTTATTGTTAACACCAACGAGAAGAAGCCTCGAAAATGTCAGTTCTTCAATTTCGTAATTGAAGCTACCAACCTTGAGGCATTTCGCAAAAACCTGGGATATTTGGCCACCAATGACCGTATTTTATGCCTTGGACGATTTCTAATTATAACCGACCAAAAGAATTTAGCGAAGGAAGTTTTTGAGACGTTTTGGTTGAATAAACTCATTTACGTCGCAGTGTTGGCGATCGACATAAAAAATTGCACCAAATCGCTCTTATTTACGGGAGATCCAAACGACCCGTTGAATTATTGCGGAACCCAATTAAACGTGATCCGCAATCAAAGTTGTATAGGTTCAATTAAGGACCCATTTCCTAAAGCTACGAGGAACTATAATGGCTGCCGCGTAAAACCCGGCACCTTCATTAAATCGCGGTACGAGTTTGATCCTAAGGAGTATACCTTGAATGTTATGCAGGAAACATTAAACATTTCTTTCGCCTTTATTGAGCTGAGCGACAAAACCCCATACACGGATATATGTGCCGATATCTCATTGACGTATCTTATTTTTCAAAATTTTCGTACCAGTCACGTGTATGCAAGGGACAATATTGTGTTCGTTGTCCCGCCAGCCGATAAAGTATCGTATATTGAGATTTTGATAGTTGCCTTCAAAAACTTTGGTTATTAATTCTTCTGGCTTTTGCGTTATTCGTCCCAACTTGGTACGTAATCTGTCGATCTAAAGTGAGCTTGGGTACTATCATAATGGAAACGGTCAGTATCACATTTTGTGGCAGCTCCAATTGGATTCCCAACTGTTCAACTTCAAGATTCTTGATCATGTGTTACATCATATACAGTATACACATACAAACCGCGTACGTTGCGGAACTAATGCGGTTGTTGGTGTCACCGCCAACGGGAAAACACATTGAGAGCTTAGATGAACTGATGAAGACGAATCTTTCCATTTGGTTAGATCTTGAGTCCAACCTCATGTTTCAACAGTTTACGTTCAGCGGTGGCTTTGTAAGGTACGAAAAACGATGTCATCAAGACGGTGACCCGCACAACATAACAAAAATCTGGTATGCTGATAAAAGTTTCTCATACGGCATACTTCTCAAGACATTGCAATCAATGGAATTAAGTCTGCAAGTATCCACTCCACCTTATTTTGTTGAGAAGAAAATTTTGCCGACTATCATGAATGTATTTGGGACTAGGGACTACGGTTACTTGATTGATAGTTTGGACGAGATTATTGATAGGCTGAATGAAGCGGGATTGTACGAGAAGTTGGATCAAGACAGGACGTTCAACGCCGAGGCAAAGAAGAGCAAGTTCATTTCTAAGGAGGAGGTGGTGGCTTTGTCTTTTGAGCACCTTAGCGGTGCCTTTGTGGTATTCGGTTGTGGGTTCTTGTTATCAATCTTGGCGTTTTTTGGAGAGTTAATTGTGCATCCTTTTATGAAGTGATCTACTGTGCAATGCAATTTAGATTGTGGTTTGTTGTTGACTTAAAACTAAATTTTAACGCACAAAATTGTATTTGCGTGTAAAGGCACAAATGGTTAATAAATGAAAACTCCAGTTCCAAATTATTTAATATCAATTTAAAAAAAGCCTCGAAGTCGATCTCTCTCATTACACACCTCTTTTATTACAGAGATCCTCAGGACTCAGGACCTTAGGTCCAATAGATGCTGCCCGCGTCATCTTGGTTAGAGTCGAGTTTTTGAGCAGAAGCCCACGCCCTGGATTGCATAAAGACGTCATTCAAATATCCCAACACTAGCTTTATTCGAGGTGCCTACATACAAAATTTCATTTAAATATTTTAAATGCAAAAACCGGATTGCCCCCCCCCCCGAATAATTCCCTTTTAAATCGATGGACATGAAGCCATCGAGCGATCAGACGATTGGGAGAAAGCAAAACCGTCTCGTTTAAAAACTCGACGCTAACAGAAGAGCTGTTATGTACAATTTGTGCGACTAGAAAATAAATTAACAAGTTAAAAAGTAATCGTAAACGATTTACATAAAGCGCATTTCCACTTGCATTCATTTCCCATTTGTAAGATGCAACTTCTGTTAAAATCGTAAAAATCCGGCCACAAATATGAAAGATAACGTTGCACATGGGCAATCCATTGTTGACGTGCTACTTCAATTTCAGTTTATGAGAAGAATTTCATTTCAATGCTTTTTTAAATAAGAAAGTTGGAACTGCGCATGCGCAAACCTAAATTTTAAAACTAATGTTAGATTTTCCTTTGTTCCAAGCGCCTAAGTATCAAAATTCACTTAAATAGTTCCATAGATAAAAAAGTTGGCACTGCGCATGCGCAAAATAAAATTTTGAAACTGGCGCTAGATTTTCCTTTATTCCAAGTGCCTATGTATCCCATTTTATTTCAATTCTTCCATAAATAAAAAACTTGGCATTGCGCATGCGCAAAGCCAAATTTTGAAACTGGCGTTTGATTTTCCCAAGTGCCTATGTATCAAATTTCGTTTAAATTCTTCCATAAATAAAAAAGTTGGCACTGCGCATGCGCAAAACCAAATTTTGAAATTGGCGTTTGGTTTTCCTTTATTCTAAGTGCCTATGTATCAAATTTCATTCAAATACTTTTATAAGTAAAAAAGTTTGCAATTCGGTTTATAAATGGTCGAGATGCGAAAAGGGCACTGTAAATTTTGAATCGATTCGACTCAACTTTTGGCATTGCGTATTATATGGCTAAAGTTATGCCCATATTGAATTTCATGCAATTCAGTTCATAACTAACGGAGATGTAAAAGCGATCGAACATTTCTAAACAAAGTTATGGTTCACACGGACAGATAGATGGACAGACAGACAAAGGAACAGACGGACAGACCAGCATGCAGACGACAGATAGCAATGCAAAATTATAAAGGATCTCTAGGATCGTTAATAAACGGCAAAAGTGTAAAATTATGGAACATGCAAAAGTGTAAAATTATGGAACATGTAAAAAAACGGTTTTTTGTTTTTTTTACAATAACTTTTTTGTAAGCGGTACAGAAAAAATTCCTTCCTTGGTACAAGACTCGACACCATAACGAACCAAATAGCGAAAAAAGTAGAACAATAGCTCTAAAGATAAAAAACTAGTAGCGTCGCAAAGTTAGCGGACGGACGGACGGACGGACGGACGGACGGACGGACGGACAAAGTGGCCACAATAGCGCATTTTTATTTTATTTTTGTGGAAATGCGCTAAAAAAGCACCGTAAGAGCCCCGAATTGTGATCCAGAGCGTTACATTTATACTGTACTCAACGAAGCCCCCCCCCCCAATTTGTATGACAGCCTACAGCCTTTTTTTCAGGCCCTTTTATAGAAAGCATGTGAGTGTTAGCAGCGCTTCTCACTACGTTTGAAGATCCTTTCG